TATATAATATATTATATTTATATATAAGTGAAGTACTGATTATATATTTCATATGGATCAAACCTAAGTAAGCGTATGTGTCTTGTTATACAACTGTTTAGTATTTTGTGAGAATTTTTACATTTATCCAAACTTGTTAAACGGTTCTTCAGAATATCTAATTGACCACATATATGGAAAACCAACAGCCCGAGAAAATTATCAATTCCACTATAGGACATCATAGCAATAATGATATAAACAGATTGACTAATAAATGTCAGTTCGTACTGTGGACTTTTTGTGACATTGTAAATGTAATAAGTTTGTAGGGGCATTGGTCTGCCTGGATCAGTAATGTTGGTGGTATCTCTCATTGATATTCCAAAGCTAGGTAGAACGATGAGAAAAAAGCATCCTATTCCCATTATGCAGTATGCGAATGTAATAATTATACGTGCACTCTGTGCTCTCCGGATCATTATACTTCTCTCTTCTGCATTTTTTAATTTTATCCAATCTTCCACGATCATGTTCATGATCGGTTCGATAGCTTAAAAAAATTTTAATATTAAAAATTTTTATTACTTAACAAAAAATTAAATCGGAATAGAGGCTATTATAAAAATTTAATCATAAACGATAAAAAATTTAAAAAGTAAAAAGAAATATTTTTTTGTATTTACAAAAAAAAATTTTATAGAATATGGTAGAAATAAAAATATAAAGTCTAATGTACAATTGAAAAGCACAGACAATAGAAACAGGGAATAACAGATTTCAATTATTCAGAAACTGTATACTAAATTACATGATTTCTGACAAGCTGTAATCCGTTTTCTATTTCCTCTTCCCATTGACTGTGTTTCTCATTGCATTATAGGCCTTAGATTTGTAAAATATGAAATTTTGACTGCATTATATACTCATTCATATTATTTATATATATATAAAACTGTAAATATCTTATCTATACAAACACATACGGATTTTTTTATGACTTTCCATTAACATTTTTATATACGTAATAATTAATGGAATTAGATTTTGAAAAATGTTAGTTATGTTTTATGAAATAATTTATGTGCAAATATTTTTAATAAAAAAGATACATATAGAATATTTATAATTAAAAAAATTTTAGAATGTGCATTAATATAGTTTACTCTTTATATAAAAAAAATATATATATGTATAGTCTTATAACTATATGTATAGTTTTAATTGTTTAAAAAGTTTTCAGCTATTTTAGAGACTTGTAAATATTAAATATTAACTATGACATAGTATTTAAGTTATATATTGTTTACTGTATTTAATAATTTAGATAAATAGCAAAATTAATCTACCTTCTTTTTTCCACCAGAAAATTATGATTCTTATCGAGCAACTTATGGCTGGTAGAGTAAATTGTAGATTATCTAGCATTAATATAATGTCTCCAAAAATTCTTGTTAAGGAATGTATAGAAGGAATAAGGAGGCCTAGTGTTATACTCAAAAATACGACAAGCACTTGAAAATTGCTTATTAATTGCTGTCGAAAATTTTGTGCAGTCTTAGGCCAAAGTCCAATCAAATTTAAAGTGAAACGATTTAGTTTTACCGCCCATTCGAAATCTACCTGCAGAAATCTTAATAAGTGCGAAATTTATTAAAACGATTACCTGCATTATATTTTTAAAAGATGCTTAAGTAAAACCATAATTAAATATGTAAATATAATATTAATTATACTTATTTGAGAGAATGTGTGTGCAAAATACAATTGAGAGAATGCAAAATACAATGTTTAGAAACACTTCACTTTTCAATAATCACAGATCTAATTATAATAATCATTTTTTAATAATCACGCAAATTGAAAAAATAGTAAATAAGAACCACTCAAAATTTTAAATTAGATGTAACTAATATTTTAATAAAATAACACAAATAGTATCATAAAATGCAATAATTTAAAGTTTTTTTAAGGTTATCATTAGTCGCACGAATTGTAATGAAAATATTTCTATTAACACTTTCTCAATTACAATCATTTACAATAATCAAGAAAATAAACACCTTGGTATCCATTATATTTCGAAGTTTCCATGTTGAATGTTATCTAGCGACTGACGTCTGCTTCTCTTTCATGAACCGACGTTACCTCCTATTCAGAGAAAAACTTTTCTCGCGCATGCTCTCTATAATAATTTTTGAGAAAGATGAACAAAGTATTAAGTATTAAATATTCTGTACCTTCGTATGAAGTTTTCATTACTTCAATATCGAATATCGCACAAAACATCGCGAACAAAAAATTTAATAACAGGGATGTCAAAGAAAGGACGTATGTACATATCTATTGTTCTTTCTCACTTCTATAATCGGCTATAGTTTATAACTATAGTTAGTAATAGGTTATATATTATACATTAAAATATGTCTATTGATAACAATTGCTGTCTATGCTCACCACATGATATCTTCCTCTTTTGTTGTTTGTATAATAGTTACACACACACACACACACACACACATATATATATATATATATATATATACATATATATACATATACATATATTATATATAT